TTGAAGATTGAGATTGAATTTTTTAAAAAATATATTAAATATAATACATAAAATTGCAAATAAAAAAAAAACATACTATAAATTATTATAGATATTTAATATTTAAGTTTTGAAATTTGTTAATGAGTAGAATGTCAGGAACCAAAAATATTTTAAACATAGTTTACTTGTACAATATTGGAATATCGTAATTAGAATTTCGAAAGAATATTTTAATACCAGGAATATTTTAAGCATAGCATTTCTTACAAAGATTAAAATTCTTCAAAAGAACAATCTGAAGAATTTCAAAAGAATTATTAGCTTAAGAATTCGCTTAAGAATTTTAAAAGAACAATCATGATTATATCAGAAGAAAAAAAAAACACTTGTCTATCTATCTAGATGTCAAAAAAATCAAGAATCAAGAGCAGAAATCAGACATAGTTTACTTTTATGATATTAAAATTTCATAAAAGAAATTTAAATCCATAATTAACAATATAAAATTTTTTTAAATGCTAAAAGTTCATGCCATAATTACCGAATTTTGTCACAGTTACCAAATTTTATAATTTATTGTAAAACGATATTTTATTATTAATTTTACCAAAATCAATAACAAAGCACTTCGGTAAAAATTAACAAAATTTTTAGTGTTCCCCTAGAGCCAGAAACATGGTTTTAACACACTCTGGTTGTTTTGATCATTTTTTCTCAGTGCAGATATTTAAAAACAATTATTTCATGTAATTAATACAAACTTAATTTTTAGAAAAAACAAAAACAAAAAACACTTCCCATTTACTGTTCAGACAATTTTAAAATTTTGTATTGTAAATAAAATAGAAAATTTCAGAATTTATTTTCATTTTGTTTTTAAACTCAACCCTTAATAAAAAATAAAGCACACTGGGAGACTAATATGCCGACCTTGAATACCCTCTTTAAATATGATTATATGGTACTATAATATACATATATCAAATCAAGTGTAATTTATTTCTTCTCTTATAAATCAATGTCAAATAATTTTAGTTACAAATAATACATGGGAGTATTTCGCAATAAATTTAAGAGACATTACATTTTAGTCTTCCTCTCAATCGCAGCATAATTAATTAAATAAAAAATAAAATGTATTAAATATTATTTTTTCATTTGTCTCTCAAACACTCTTGGCAAAATTGGTAAGAAGTTGGAAAAGGAACTACACATGACATTCGTACTTTAATCCATAATGTTGTTTATGATTGCACTATCTTTAATCAGTTTTTGATATAATTTATGTAAACAATTATTTCTTGCAAAAACTTATTCGCTTGATAAAATTTATGAGAAGCATTTATGTGTGACAAAATCTTTACCCTAATAATCTCAGATACTTTTTGGTTAAATGACTGTACTGAATTACAAATTATACAAATTTAATACAAATTTTTTGTTTGCTATACTCTTTATTAAATCGAAATTCGAATAAGTCTTCTTTCTGAAAATCAACTAAACGAGTTGAATCTTTTCTTTTTTTAAATTTGAACTGAGACAAAAAATACTATCAAAACTACTAGAATATGACTAAATTTACTGTGTTTCTGGCACTATGTGAACACCAAAAAAAAACTCGGTAATTTTTACAGAAGCACTTAGGTTATGGTTCTGGTTAAGTTAACCATAAAATAAAGACTTATAATATATGATAAAATTTGGTAAATGTGGCAAAATTTGATAATTTTCTCATGTTTCCTTAGAGTATAGGATAAAAACTATTTATTCGGTTAAATTAATTTTCAGTTTTGTATTTTTAACCAAATGGTTGGTAATAAGAACTGTAATTTTAAAATCCAGAATTTTTGGAAAACCGTTACCATATAAATGGGAAAACTAGCAAATGAATGTTTTATTAATACCTTAAATTTTGGTTCTATTACCAGATTTACAGTTTTTTTAAAAGATAAATATCATTACCATGAAGTATGGTAATTTTTCCAGAATTTTATCATTGTGTGAAATTCAAAAAGTTCATTAATTTATGACATTTAACCGGTTAATATTTTAAGATATAGAAAATAGAATTGATACAAAGAATAGAATTAATATAGCTCAGAATTATAAGATAGAAATAAAATTTTATAATTAATTTTCTTAAGTATAAAGTTATTCATTGTTGAATTTTAAAACTAATATTTTTAAACAAAAAGAAATCGGAAAACTTTTTTTTAAATTGCAAATAAATGGTTTTAGTAGCCATATTACGAGTAACGAGTTAGTTTAAATAGTTTAAGAAGTTTTAACTATATTATTATGGTCCCATGTTATTCCTGAATTGAGTTTTCAGGAATTTAAGACATTTCCCACAGAAAAATCGGATTAACATTGAATCATAATACCGGTACATCAAAGAATAATATGGTGCATCTTTAATAAAGTATTAAATTAAACAGTGTTTCATCATATAATATAACAATCTCTTAAAATATTTGAATGAATGAATGATATGGTTCTACACGCTACAAAAAGAAAACTAGAAGAATTACGGTACTGTATGATATAACATTTCTAATAAAAAACAGCAACAGCCTAATTTTGATATTAACGGTATTTAAACCATTCATTTCAACCATTCATATACGGTATTTAAACCATTCATTTGGTAATTTTTCTTTCATATGGTAATGGTTTGTCAGAAATTCTGGTTTTCAAAATAATAATGCTTATCACACATTAAGTAAAAAATACGAAACTGAAAAGTATATTTTCAGAATAAATGATTTTATGTCATGGTGTCTGTAATAGAAAAAACAACAAGGAAAAGACAAAGTGGTGCCTAAATTAAAAAATTTAAACAATAATGGACTACAACCCTTGTAATAGCTAATTATTTTGAAAAAGTAAAAGTTTAATGCTAATTTTGGATATGAGCTATATCATATTATGTATCAGTCATATAAAAGTTTTTTTAAAGAAATTCAGTAAAAATCTGCAGTTGTTTTTAGTTAGAATAATTAAAATTTTATATCAAGCTATTTTAAGAGTTAATTGAACATTTTAGAAATGCAAGAATCAAATAATTATCCTGGAAGTGTGTTTTAGTAGAACATAGCATGGCATATGTTATGTTATATCTATATATTCTATAAAGTTTTTCCTAAGGAGCTTAGTTAATGAAAAATATCTTACTTTTGTTTAAACTCCAACTCAACAACACCTGTAATCAAAGAGTGGCACGACTAAGGAACTACAAAACTAGCTATTGTTACAATTAACTAAACATTTTTGAAAAATGAGGGGAAAAAACTTGCTTCGCTTTTGTGCCATTAGTATAAAATAACATGTTACGTGTTCAGTTTTCAGGAACATGTTACATGTTCAGTTTTCAGAATTTTCAGAAAAAGTGAACTAAAAAATTTCTTATTAAAGATCTTTCTATTGTGTTTGAACTCTGACATAACGGAGCTGATGATAAAAGGTTAAAATAACTATAAAATTAAATAAATAAAAATAAATAAATAAATAAATAAAACTACAAGTTTCACAATTTAAGAAATTAACTAAACGTTTTGAAAAAAAGGAAAAATAAAAAAAATTCTCAAATGTGTGACTTAGTATAATATATAATGTTATATTTTCCGATATATAACCCTTTAAAATAAAAGTAAATTAAAAAACAAAAAATTTATCAGTTGCCTTAGAACTGCGACATATCGGTGCCGATAATAAAAAAGACAACTAAAAAACTCTATTTTCACATTTTAAAAATCAACTAAATAATTTAAAAAAAATAAAAAAATAAAAAAAAAACATTAAAATTTATTTAAAAAGTGTTCGATTAGTATAAAATATCATGTTATATGTTCAGTCATATAACTCTTTAAAAAAATAGTAAGTAAAATAGTAAAAATAAATCAGTAAAAATAAAAGATCTTTCTATTGTGTTTGAATTCTGACACAACGCCGTCGATAATAAAAGATTAAAGACAACTAAAAAACTACAAGTCTCACAATTTGAAAATCAAGTGGACATTTTGGAAAAAGTGGGAAATTAAAATTTGCTTCAAATATGTGCCATGGTATAACATATAACAGCTGTTCCCAATTTTTTCAGCTATGGAACCCGAAATGATTGAACTGTTTTTGGTGGAACCCTGACTTTATAAATAATAACGTATATAAAAACAATAGTGACCGTGTTAACCAATAGAAGACTACTTTAGTTTGAAAATATTACATAAGAGGAAGGAAATTTTTTCATTCATTATCTTAAATTAATTTTATATTCAACGGTTGAATTCATACTCCTGGAACTATATCTTATTCAGTTTTAAATGTGTTTTTGGGATATACATAAGTGAAAATGAAAACAAATAAGTCGAATTTTTGTTGGAACGAAAGCTAAAAGAATTGTTATAAATGTTGAAACTGGTTACCAGGGAAACGTATTTCTTTATTAATGAATTGAGTTATTAACGAATTTATGCTGATTTGCAAAGCGCGATGGGAAATATTAATACAATTTTTCATAAAAGCAGGTCCTTTTCATAATATATTCAAAATATTGAAACAATATTTTCATAATATATTTGAAATATTGGATAAAAAAGTAACATTTAAATAAAAAAATTCTATTTCTTTTTTTAAAAATAATTTCATTAAAACAATCGAAATATTAAATAAATAATAGACTATTAGTTCGTTCAAAATATAAACAAGGTTTCAAAAATCATCACTGTGAGGTAAAAAAAAGTCCTTGCTCGCGGAACCCTTCTTATTCTTCCATAGAGCCTTAGGGTTCCGCAAAACACCATTTGAGAATCGTTGACTAATGCTATTATACTGTGTCAGTCGTACATAGTTTTTATAGATTTTGCTCCTGTGATTGAAACCCGACTATACGGCGCCTATAATTAAAGTTTCACATAACTAAAAAACTTCAAATCTAACAACTTTATCAATTAATTGAACATTTTGGAGACGCAAATACTACAAAAACGAGTTTAAAAAAAACTAACAATAGAAATACTTACATAATAATTTGTTCTTGCGTCGCTTAAGACAAACTTAAAATAAATAAATAAATAAAAAAGTTTAAAGGGAATTTTTAGAGACTTTTTCTCACATCGACCGCCTGTCTCCAAATAAATCCTCCATTTAAAAGAAATATATTTTAAAACCTCCATCGACAATAGAAGATCGTTAAAAAAAAGTAAAAAAAGTTCTTTTTCCGGAAAGAGAAAAAAAGTGATGCAAAAATAATAATGAATAGAATTTCTTTTGTTGTATTCGTCCCATTGTAATAGTTTTTAGTTGGTTTAATAATATAGCATTTTCTTCCAACGTAGAGTGATATTACGGGTGTACGGGAATATCGTCTTTTCACGGATGCGGGGGTTGGACAGTGGACGGGTAACCCGCCTTCGGAGCAGGTGGCTCCTTCAGCCGTGAAGAGGAGTCTCTTTTACCCGTTGATGAAAGATAATGAAGAAGAAAAAAAATTCTTCCTGGGCGGTCAAAGATTCCTTTGATCTTTTGTAAACAATATTTCGAATCGAATCTTTAATGAAATGTTGCTTTTGAATTAATATTTAGGGAAAAAGATATGAGAGAAATTTGGGTGAATAAAATTTCCCATTGTAATAGTCGTAAATTTAAATAAAAATTAAAGATAAATTCTCTTTTAAAAAATTTTGGGGGAGCGCTCACTGTAAAAAATACCAGATCAAATTGTGGGATTAGGTACCGACCCCCTAAGTGTAGTATTCACCAAATCCATTTTTACCGTAAAATTTTATACCGTAATTTTTACAGTAATATTTATTTAATTACAGTAGTTCAGTGATTTTACTGCAAATATTATTGTAAAAATTAAATAACTGTAAAAATTAAGATAAATAGTACTGTATCAGTGATTTTACTGTAAATATTATTGTAAAAATTAAATATTACTGTAAAAATTACGATAAATATTACTGTAAACCGTAATTTTTACAGTAATATTTATTTAATTACAGCAGTTCAGTGATTTTACTGTAAATATTATTGTAAAAATTAAATATTACTGTAAAAATTAAGATAAATAGTTATAATATCAGTGATTTTACTGTAAATATTATTGTAAAAATTAAATATTACTGCAAAAATTAAGATAAATATTACTGTATCAGTGATTGTACTGTAGATATTACTGTAAAAATTAAATATTACTGTAAAAATTAAGATAAATATTACTGTAAAAATTACGGTTTATCAGATTTTTTTGCTCTGAATAATGTTACGGTAAAAATAAGTAATACAGTAAAAAGTACTGGTACTCTGAGTGCCGGTACTATTTCCACCATTCGTTTGAAATTTTTTCCGTTGATATGGTTATAGTTTACCTGAAATTTTGGTTTTCGAAATTATAGCTCTTGTTACCAAAATTATAGTTTTTTATCTTATTTATAATATTTAAAGGGAAAAAAAATACAAATGTTTCGATAAAAATTACCGAACTTATTGGCGTTCCCATAGAGCCACAAACATGGTACGGCGTATAAATTGTATATATAATACGATTTACATGCATTTCAAGTAAAATAGATTTTAAAAAAACTATTCAATATTGTAAATAACGAGAGTGAAGCATCTCATAACTATAATTAGCTAGAACATATGTAGTTAAAAAATATTTTTAACAAAAAGAAGACATTGAAAATGTTCGGTTTGCTTTTTAAAGTTAAAATTCAACAAGATTATGCTGAACTATATTTTTCTTGAAATTAGTCATAAATCTAAAACTGTTTCTAATTCCGTAAAACAGTTTTAAATTTCAACAAGATTCATTTCAAGTGTTAAAATTCAACAAAATTACGCTGAACTTTATTATTCTTAAAATTAGTCATAAATCCAAAACTTTTTCTTATTCTGTAAATCAGTTTCAAATTTATGTCATCTATTAAATTTATGCTATCTGTCATAAACAGGTTCTAAATGTATGATAGTCATAAATTTAAAACCGGTGGGTTAAACTTGCCTTTAAAAGTAAAAGTCATCCTGATTGGTTACATAGAATCTCTTCATTACCATAAATCTTTTTTTTTTTTTTAAATTGAAAATTTTCTAAAATTTGATATTTGTTGGAATAAAAAGCATAAAAGAATGCAAAAAATTGCATTCCCTTTTTTTAATAAAACTTAGTAAATTTTAATAATAATTGGTTAAAAAATAATTATAATTATATTAGAGTTTACAAAAAAGAGTTTTAATTTTAAAACGTTTTGAAATACAAAGAAAAAATCAATAATCAATAAAAATATGAGAAATAAGTAAAAAAAACAAAACAAATAGATAATAAAAACATACGAAATAAAAAGTATAAAATAAAATAAAATAAATGCAAAAAATTGTATTAAGGAAACACAAAGGAAATTTATTAACATTTCTTAACGTATTATTTATTGTGAGTCTAATATGCATAACCTCATTTTATTTCAATTTTTACCTTAATCGGTATTTAAAGTGAAAGAACAATAACAGCAATTATAACAAAAACGGGTCTTACTTTAAATTAGTTTCTAACATGTTGAAATAAATCAGCTAAAAAAATGTTGAAATAAAAAACATAATAGAATTTTAAAAAATGTTTTTTTTTTCTAATTTCATTTATTTATTAATTTTTATTTCTGACTTGTTAAAGTTTTTCCTTTTACCTTCTGTTAAAATAAAATATTAGCATAACAATTAGTTAGTGGAAAAAAAGCATAACAGAAACATTTTACAATAATATATCTAACTGTAATATTGTTAAGAAAATAATAGAAGCTAAACTTTGAATGCAAAAATTGGCTGATTAAATGCATTGAAAATATTTGAATATATATTTATTCACACATGAATAATATCAAAAAGATAAGCTTACGTGCAAAGTATCTTATATCAAGGAAATATTATATCAATATTTCTCAAATTGACATTTAAAAATATTGTTTTACTAAATTGAATAGAAATCACGATTAAAAAAAGAAAAAGGAAAGAAAAAACTAAGTTTTCTAGTCGTAAAAATTAGTTATGGTACTAAACCAAAACATATTTTAAACTACCTAAAATCGCATGAAACTGAAAAATAATAAAATAAAGAATTTTTCTAACATGAACATATTGAAGAAATATAGTGGTTAATAAATTTTTAAATTAGAGGGGAGGGGGAAAATAGATTTCAGAAAAAGGGACAGTATAAAAACATTAATTTAAGTGAAGTTTTAAATTGAGAAAAGCTTAATCGAAAAACAACGTTACGACAAACACAATATTGGCGCTCATATAAAAGAAATTTGCACACTTATAAAAAACTTTGCGCACTTATAAAATAAATGTGCACAATTATAAGATAAATTTGCGCACTTATAAAATAAATTTTTATGTTAGTTGTTTTTGTGAAATTGAAGGACTTTGATTTGCAGTAACGTCATTTTGTTAAACCTAATCATTAGTTTGAAAGAAGGAGAAGAATTAAAAAAATATATATGTTTTTTAATCAAAAGTTACGTTAGTATAAAATAACTTCCGTGTCATATTCTTAATCTGAAATTTTATATTTTCTATTAAAAAAAAGAAGAACTTAAGGATGATACTTATTTATAATTATGAAATCAAAAGACATTATTTTCTTTTTTGAAAAAATCATCATTACTTACTTTTTGATTTAACGAATCACATTAAAATAAACTCAATTTTTTTTATATTATACTGTGATAATTTTTAATATATATATATATCTGAAATACATATTTTGCTTCGTATTTGCGATTAATTTATGTTTAAGTCAGAATAATGATGTTACTTGATTTCATAAGAAACTAAGGGGTGGTTCAAATAAGAACCTTAGTATTGCATTAGTGGGGTATGAGCGTTGCTTGCGTTACACTTTAAATTTTCCATCTTTATATTTTTTATATACTTTTAAGTGGAACATTGCACATTTTATAGAAAACATTCGATGCAACAAAAAAATTTGAATGAAAAGAAAAAAGCTGGAAGAGTATTTAAAAAAAAAAAAAAATCAAGATATTAAACGTAAATTTTAATTTATGCAAAGTTGCATATTTTATAATTTTAATACTCTTAAACGTAGTAAGTAATTATCTAAGAGTAATTACTTACTACTTATAATTACTACTAAGAATCTTTAGTAAGAATCTTACTACTAAGAATCTTTAGTAAGAATCTTACTACTAAGAATCTTTAGTAAGATTCTTAGCTCAGAATCTTACTAAACATATTTTTCCAACTTCTTTTATTATTTTGTATTAATTTAGGTCAAAATAAAAAAATATACATTATTTTCAGCATTTTAATAATTTATGATTATGAAATACAGCATGAAATACCGGTGCTTTCTTCAGCGTTAAAAGTAAAATCTTTCAAACATAGCTCACTTACGAGCAATAATTTTTTCACATTTGCGCTTATTTAAAGTTATTTAGATCTAAGAGAAACAGTTATTCATTATTGAAATTTCTTTACTTTGCAAAATTAATTATTGATATATTTTTTAAACTTGAATGAAAAAAAAAAACTTTTTCAAACGACTTATTTCGGATTTTATATTTTAGTACAAATATAATTCCGATAATGTAACAGATTTTGTTTTAATAGCTATTTTTATAATTTTACAGTTTATAAAAATATTTTTATAATTTTTATAATTTACAGGACAGTTTTTTTTATAATTACAAATTCCAAAACATATTTCTGCTAGTAATTGGAGCGTCAGAACAATGATAAATAGGGACATCCGTGTATCGTTTGCGGCAGAGGGTTATACTATATTTTAGTACAAATATAATTCCGATAATCTAACGGATTTTTTTTAGTACCTAGTAGACAGTTTTTTATAATTAAAGAATTCCAAAATGTATATTTGCTAGTAATTGGAGCGTCAGAACAATGATAAATAGGGACATCCGTGTACCATTTGCGTCAAAGGGTTATACGTCAAAGAGTTATACTATAATTTAGTACAAATATAATTCCGATAATCTAACGGATTTTTTTTAGAAACTAATGGACAGTTTTTTATAATTAAAGAATTTCAAAATGTATATTGGCTAGTAATTAGAGCGTCAGAACAATGATAAATAGGGACATCCGCGTACCATT